TGTGCCATTAAGTACATTTACAACATTGTGCAGCCATCACCATCATCCATCTTCAGAACTTTTCCATTTTCCCATAGTGAAACTTCGTGCTCATTAAACACTAACTCTCCATTATTTCTCTTTTCCTGCCTTCTCCCCTGTTCACCTCATATAAGTGGAAACATTCAGTGTATTTGTCCTTTTGAGACTGTTTGATTTCACTTAGCATAATGCCCTCAAGGTCCTGGTAGTGTGGGTAAGAATGCCTTTCCTTTGTAAGGCTGAATAATATTCCATGGTATGGGTGCCCCACGTTGTGCTGACCGGTGGTGTGGGTGCCCCACGTTGTGCTGATCCGTTCATCTGTCACTGGACAATTGGGTTGTTCCCACCTTTTGGCTACTGTGAATAATCCTGCTGCAAACATGGGTGTGCAGATATCTGTCCTGCTTTCTATCCATTTGTCTGTATACCCAGAGGTAGAATTGCCGGATCACGTGTTAATTCTGTGCTTCATGTTTTGAGGACTGTTATACTGTTGTTCTGATCAGAACCATCCTTGTGGGTATGGCATGGCACCACTGTTTCTGGTGACTGCTGTCCCCCCTCATCTGCAACTACCAGCTTAAGCTCATGTCAGCAGCCAAACTTCTCTTCCTTCTTCTCTCCTTACGCACCTCCAGCTTCTAACACTCTCCGTTGGGGGGATAATGTATCTTCCTCCTGCTGATCCATGTTTCACATCTGATAACTGCCTCTGATGTGTTTAGTCACCTGCCAAGCCCCGTTAAATCTTTTTTTTTTTTTCCCCCCGATACGGAGTCTCGCTCTGTCACCCAGGCTGGAGTGCAGTGGTGTGACCTTGGCTCACTGCAAACTCCGCCTCCCACGTTCAAGCAGTTCTGCCTCAGCCTCCCAAGTAGCTGGGATTATAGGTGTGCGCCATCACGCCTCGATAATTTTTGTATTTTTCGTAGAGATGGGGTTTCGCTGTCTTGGCCAGGCTGGTCTTGAACTCCTGACCTCGTGAGCCACCACGCCCAGCCAAGCCCTGTTAAATCTTGACAGAAACCATTCGCGTCTCTTCCCTCCTGTGTGCAGACTATCGTTTTTCCTCAGTGACTGTGCCGTTTTACATTCCCACCAGCAGTGCCTCTGTTCTTTTACATGGCATAAATGGAAATATCCTTGCTTGTAGAGTCTGTTGAATTTTTGGATACCTGCTTCATAGTTTCTAGTAATACCTCTCATTGTTTTCTGTATTTCCAGGCTGCAGTGCAGAAGGCAATCCCTATGTACAAAATTGCCACCAAAAATGATGTTGATGTCCAAATTGACCAGGAGTCCTACCTGCCTGAAGACATGTAAGGAGTATTCCTGCTGCTAACAGCCACCTTCTCTCCCTGGGAGAGTGGCCTTTATACTGGGCCTTTTTCAAATGGTATTTTCACCAACACACTCTTAGACACAAGGCTAGAGCTGTGATGTGTTCTACTTGCAGCTGCTCCTGTTGTTCTGGCCGCGCTCTGTTGTTCTCCTTTGTTGGCCGGCTAAATATACTCTAAAAGTCTAGTTTCATTGGGTGTGATGGCTCACGCCTGTAATCCCAGCACTTTGGGAGGCCAAGGCGGGCAGATCACAAGGTCAAGAGATCGAGACCATCCTGGCCAACATGGCCTAGGGAGCCAGACTCGCTCTCATACCAGCCCACCCTCTGCTCACAGTCCAGTCCTGTCTCTACGAAAAATACAAAACTTAGCTGAGCGTGGTGGGATGCACCTGTAGTCCCAGCTGCCCAGGAGGCTGAGGCAGGAGAATCACTTGAACCCGGGAGGCGGAGGTTGCAGTGAGCCAGGATCACGCCACTGGACTCCAGTCTGGCGAC